CTGAAATCAGCCGTACATCGGCTTGCTTCGTGTGGCTTCGGATCAGCCGTGAAGTGCAGAAGGAGTTCGACTCAGCCGATCCAACATCTGGATCGGCTGAGCCGAACCTCCGGCAGGCTTCACACTGCTGTTCGGGCTATTCTGAAAGATCCCGAACAGCAGTGAGAGAATAGCCGAATGCCGCCGAGCGGCATTTGGCTCGGCTGTTCTGCTCGGTCCCTCTGCTTTCAGCACGGCTCAGCGCTCGACTGAGCTGCTCGGCCGTGATCGGGAGCTGTACGGGCTATTGTGAATAGCCCGTACAGCACCCCCTCGGTTCTCCGAAGCCGAAGGGGTCCTGGGGCCGAAGCCAGCCGAAGGATCGGCCGAAGCTACGGCCAGATCCTTCGGCAGCTTTGTGAATAGACCCCTAAGTCTTGTCTGTATCTAAATAGCATGTCAAAATCATACTAGTATTATAAAAGACAACTAAAGCAAATAAATCATCTGCCCACTCAAACTACTAAAAGGAGTGTTTTTAGCTTAACATACTCCATCTTAACCAGTTGACATCCGCGGTGTTAAACCCCCTTCCCATCCAGGCCATTTTTCAATATTCAGCGCTGCGGTACTTTAACTGACATTTATTCCGTCATGCAGCGCTGTACTGAAATGAATTTTATACCCTTTTTTGGGGACAGATAGAGCTTTCTTTTGGTGGTATTTATTCACCACTGGGGGTTTTATTTTTTTACTATATTAAGGAAAAATTACCGAAATTTAAAAAAAAAAACAGTTTCCCCTATATTAAATGATAAAACATTTATTATTACCCAATTTTTTGGTAAAATATAAAAGATGGGGTCACGTCGGGTAAAAAGACACTAAACATGTCAAGCCTTAAAATTGCGTGCGCGCGCGAAACCTCAAAAAACGATAATACCCAAAATTGGCCATAGGCGACGCTTTAAAAGCTGTTACCGCTCATCAGTTTAGTGTTATCAGTGATTGATGGCCCTAAAATGATTGCTCTCACTGCGACGTTCGCGGCGATATGTAACATGTGTAGCGCAATTGTAATTTTTGCGCGCTGGGGCACCGGACGCGTATTTACGTTTATAGGCGCGTAAACGTGGGGGTGGGGGAGTTAAACATTTTGGGGGGGTTTTTTCCCCTTTTTTTATATGTGGCTTTTATTTTATTTTATTTTTTTATGTGTTACTTTTCTTTTTTTTTATTTATATATTTTTTTTTGCACTTATTGTTATTGCTATTATATAGGGGGATAACAACCCCCTATATAATAGCAAAGGCACACTGACAGGTCCTCTTTATGGAGATATTAGGGGTCTCTAGGACCCCTAATATCACCTATGGACCCCAAAAGAAGCTGATAAAGCAGAGATCTGCTTTATCAGCTTCTTCTCTCTCCAGATGACTGACAGGTGAATGCGGAAGTGATGTAACACACATCACTTCTGCATTCACAGCCCGGACGGGGATCAGCAAGGAGCTGATCTCCCGTCCTCCTCCTCCTGACGCCCTCGGAGCCGGTCCCGGGATCCAAGATGGGGCAGCGGATCCCGGGAATCAAGGTGAGGAGTCAGGGGGGGGGGCCGCGAACGAGCACATATAGGCGATCGGCGGGCTATGGACCCGCTGATCGCCTATATGTGAAACACCCGGTACCGGGTGTTCGCATTGGACGGGTCTTTTCTGCCCGTGCGTGCCCGCTAGGGGGCGCGCGCGAGCAGAAACAAATTGCCGTCTGGATGCTGCAGTGCCGTTCGTCCGTTTTTTTACTACGGGCGGACGGCAAGAGGTTAAAGAAGAGCAACTGCACTGCATCGGTTCTAATTAAGATACAGAACCAAACTGACATTTGATGTAAGAACAATAATACCTACTTTAAAGCCAATGTCCACCTCTGCGGAGGTTTAAAAAAAACATATGCCAGCAATGTACACCAAGTGGCTCTTTTTGAAATGGCTGCCGCTGTGCTTTGCAAACAGTCTGTGTAAACTAACACTCAATCTCTGTGCTCTCTCCCCCTATTCATTAGGATTTATTTTAACCTGGAAAGGCAGAGTTGGTGTGCAGTGATCCTGTTACAAGGACTCACAGGGAGGGGTCAGCTGCTTTACAATTCAACCCCAGTGTCAGTGTTTTCTGTGGAGAAAATTCTCAACTTGTAGGACACAGGCCTTCTAAAAAGTGCATTAAAAAATTAAGAAAGCCAGCAACGTGAGTCTTGAAAATGTACACACATATACATCATCACTGCACCTCTACATTACCACATTAAATGCTAATCACTTAGGGTGGAAATAGTCTTTGAAGCAAAAATAAACCCTCCTTTTTTACAACTGAAGAATAAGCTGTCTTAGTCCATGTTTAAATTTTCAGTTGATATTTTGCTGCACATGTGATCAGTTACAACACTAGCCACTTGAGGGAAAAGTTTGGTTGAGAGCTAAATAAAGCAGATTATCAGCTGTGACAGTTATCAACGGTGGCATATCTTGAATGTAACTGTTAAATTAGTGGGTTTAGTTTCACTTTAAGAACTATCTAAAATCTAAAACCTTGTTTTGACAAAGATAAAATTCATCATGTCTTCATTAGAAACTGTACTATGCATAGTACTAATGAGATCTCTAGCTAGCCACCACTGTATCTGACTTGCTGAGCAAGACTATCCGATTATTTAAATTATTTCTAACCTTTAAGGAAAAGACACTGACATTTATTTTACATGTTATTAAAAATAAATAATAGAGGCATTATCAAATTTTACATACCTAGATGAGAACATCATTATCAAGAATTATATCTGGTTCCAATACTAGATACATTTTCAATGTGCACATCTCCCTATCTGCCTGCCTACCTTTCTCTGATTCCAGCCGACTGAACTATCTGGACTGGAGAGTACAGTAGATACAGCGGCGGATTGATATCTGCTGTACTCTCCAGTGCAGACCGGAACTATAACTTAATTGTCGGGCGCCGCGGCTCCTGATATTAATGCGCCGGCCCGAAAGTGAGGAAATAGTCCCCTCTCTCCCCGGGCCATACCACTTTATCGGAGAGCCCGGGGGAGGCCGGGAGAGAGGGGACAGTTTGACATTATGAGGTTCCACAGGCTGAACCACAAATTCCCCCTCTAGTTCTCCCTAATGCAGATGGGCCGGTCTATGCAGACATGACGCCGCGACCCACTGCAGAGGGTGTCGCGACCCACTTTTGGGTCACGACCCAGGAGTTGAGAACCACTGGTCTAGAGTATGTATATATGTATGTATACGTATATACATGTGTATATATATATATGTATACATGTATATATGTATCCATATATACATATATGTATGTATGTATGTATGTATATATGTATATAGAGTATGTATATTATTTTTTCTCGAAATAGTGTTTGTTTAGAAATCATTGGAGATTTAATTCATATTTAAAAGTTAAAGTGACATTAAACCCTCAGATTTTTTAACATAAAACAATACTGTAATGTGTGCCTTACTGTAATCCATGGTAGTTTCACTTCTCTCCGCTGCTCTTCCTTTTAAATCCTCATGTCTTCTCATGCTGGCGGAGAACTTCCCTTTGCAGCTGAGTGCCTCTTCCTGTAGTGCTGGCTCTGGCTCAAACGTACACACAGACAACATGTAGCCATTGCAGAGACAAGGCAGTCTGCTGCAAAACAAAAGTTCTGCTCAGCATGAGAACAGATACAGATTTAAAAGGAAGAGCAGCAAAGAGAAGGGAAACAACCATGGATTACAGTAAGGCGCACATTACAGTATTGTTTTATGTTAAAAAATCTGATGGTTTATTGTCACTTTAAGCTTTTATTTGCTATTAAATAATTAATTCCACTCTGATGCCTAAATCTTGGGATCATTATAATGTAAGGTCAATGAAATTAGATACCATTTATTGCTGCCTTTTTTAACCGCTCTCTCACCTCATATGTTTGCTATCCTTAAAAATAATTCCTATCTCATTTTATTGAGATTGCATATGGGTTAAATAGACCAGATGTGTCCACGAGTGTTAGACACTATCACACTCACTATTATATAGGCTCTGTGAGGTCTGTGCATCTGGGGGGGCTTACTCAGAGCCAGGAGCAGTGATGGGCTGCCGGGACTTCCACTGTGAGTTGTGGAGTGAGGAGATTCCACTGCCTGGCTCAGACCACGCAGCCATCACAAACCACAGCCAGACCAAACCCCTTATAAATTGAATGTTTTTAATGGTATCACACTATGTGATGTTTATAATTGTTTTTACATGATGCCTAAATGAAGGAGAAGATTAGAGGGAACTGAAACCAGTGTCACTGAGGATTTATCAAACCACAGGTCCTTCCTCTTCTTCTCCATCAGTGGTGGTGGTGGGTGGTCTTACTGAGCATGTTTCACATAATGATGTGTAAATGCGGTTCATTCCAGTAGCTCTATGGCTGTGCAATGACATTTTCCTGGGGTGTGTATATCTGACTGCATGACACTGGTCTACATTCATGCTGGAAGACTGATGGCATCTAGTGGTGAAAGGAATTAATGTGAGGGACATTCCAGCTTGCATGTGAGTATTACAGCAAAAGCTGCACCTGGCCATCTATTTTATTTTAATGAGGTTCTACCTTTAGTTTAGTCTGATTGGTTTTAATAGACTTATCTTTTATTCTTTGTACCAAGCTATTAAACAAGACCTTTTGCTTTAAATATGAGTAGCAACTATAAACAACATAACAGGTTATCAAAAGTTTATATTAGGAAAAGTGTAAGTAAAATTGAAAAGATAGGGCCTGGTACCATCATTATCAATGCAGAATGGATAGAATAAACAATGCACATTTTATGACTGTTTTGTTGTGTGATACTGTATATGTAAACCTTTATCTGTGCTCTATAAAAAATGTTTTTGCTTTAATCCTACCTGTCACTTCTTCAAGTATGCTGATTTAAATTCTGTCTTTCTGACAGCGGTATCCTGTGGAAATCCTGGAACACCAACCAATGGCATGATCATTTTTAGTGATGGGATACTTTTCTCATGCTCTGTCATCTATGCCTGCTGGGAAGGTTACAAAACATCAGGGTTAACTACTCGACATTGCACTGCCAACGGAACCTGGACTGGAAGTGCTCCAGATTGTTCAGGTCAATTGTCAACTCACTGTCAAAACAGATTAGAAAATGTCACGTGCAATTTTATGAATGCACTAAATGATTCCTCATTTTATTTTGTCTTCATTTTTCTTTCGCTTTTCTTCCTATTCTCCAATCAGCATGACTACAAGTAATTTGCCTGTGTTGCAGTAAGCTCTAATTCACATCAGCAGAGTATTTACACTTTTTCAGACAAATTGGGATAATGCCTACTTTTTATTTGTTACATGTTCTCATTCACATAGCATAACCTAAAACAATTATTTTAAAATTGTTGCATACATTTTTATTTGCTCTTTTCTGAAAAATCAAAAGCTGGGGGTTTTTTTCTGTTATGTAATGTTAACAGGGGGACTGAGGAGTTAATGTTTACAACAATTAACATTGCCTTTAGTGTGCTGGCAGACCTAATTAAACTAGAATGGAAAATGGTCTGTCCAGACAAAGGGTCAACAATCTCAAGGCTTGGGTTCTGCACTGTGTGTAATAGGGGAGAATGTCCACACTTTGCCCCCTCCACTCTCACCTTGAAATTGCTCAGAGCAGCTTGCAGTCGGCTCAGATACCTGCTCCAAAGAAACAACTAGAAAGGTTAAATAGATAGACATCACAAACATAGTGGCTTTTTTCTCAAATTTTACTAAAATAGTAGAACTACACTTTGGGGTCTAGTTATAAAAAAGTTGCATAGCTATTCATCCAGTGAAACTACATGTGCCTTCATGTGTGCAAATTAACTAACTGTTGTGAGAATGAGGCAAAATGTAATGCTCTTAAGCTATTGTTATTAGACTATTTTCTCTACTGGTCGAATGTATTTAGACTACTGTTTTAGGCTATTTTGGTCAAATGTATTGATGCTATTGTTTTGGCTTTTCTCTTCTGGTTAAATGTATTCAGGCTATTGCTTTAGGCTATTTTTGGTTGAATCTACTCAGCCAATTATTTTAGGCTCTTTGTAGTCAAATGTATTCAGGCTATTGTTTTCGACTATTTCCTCCTCTGGCCGAATGTGTTTCTCTTTTCTGTAGCAAACTAATAGCACCAAGGAGAATTCTGCCCTGACTTGTGTGTAATAAAACATGCAGCAAAAAACAGTGATTTTAAACTGTAATCCCTCGAGGGAAAAATGCAGAGCTAAAAAATACAGATCTTTAAAAGTATTGCAGGTATGTTATTGTGGCACTTAGTTGCAAATGTACAGCTACACAAGCATCAGCACAACATGCATACTGTATGTTCTTAATCCCACATCAATTACCTGTGCTGGTGAGTAGCACAATTCAAGCCTCAATCCTCACCTGCACAGGTAACTGTTTGTTAATATTAATGGCAGTCAGTCTCTCCTGAATACATTGTATTCATATGTACATAGTTATTTTATCTCCCAAAGTTAGTCGAAGGCAATCCCTGCTTTACTAATTACTATTGTTGCCTCTATATTAGCTACCTATCCGTTTGTGACAGTTCTTTAGACATCAATGTGGGATGAAGAACATATGAATTGATGCTTGTACTGCTGTTCATTTGGAGATAAGTGCCACAATAACATATCTGCAATACTGATCTGCATTTTCAAGAAGTCTCTCCTTGTATTATTTTTCATAGCTCGGTTACAGACTTTGACAGTTCAATCCTCTAAATTCCTGACCAAACTCTGTTTGTATTTTCCTTTCTAGTTATAACCTGTGAAGATCCAGGACCAATTGCTAATGGTTTTCAGATGGGAAAAGACTTTACATTTAACAAAACAGTGGCTTATCATTGTAACCCAGGTTATCTGAGAGATCCTATCACTTTGTCACCTATGATGTGTGGCAAAGATGGTATCTGGAACCAGACAAAACCAACATGTAAAGGTATGTGAGCCTGGGACTTTCATACTAGTGGTGACTACAATTTACAAAATTCACAAAATTCAAATTTTATTTTTTATAGTAATATTGGTAATATGTTAGTATTTTGTCATTGCATGCAGTTCTTTGTAATAGTGTTTCCAATTATGTTATTTTTCAGATGATTCTATAAGAATTGGTATTTTTTAAGCTACATGATAACTACCAAGCATTTCCAAGTACAACCCTCTTGCAATACAGCAGTTTTTGGGATTGACATTATGGGTGGCATACGGGACATATCTGAGAGCATAGCAATGCAGTGTTACAAAGACTGGTACAGATGTACTCTGGTAAACAATAGACCAAAGCAACTTCATCTTGTGCTGAAATCTTGGTGCTTGATGCTTTTTGTGGAAGACCAGCAGAATAGGGATTAATAGTTAAACGGGGGGGGGAGGAAGGTCAAGGGCTTCATTTTTGAAACTGCTGTCTGTGTTCTTTGTCACCAGGACAAAGAGTGTTGCAAAAAAATGTTGGATTTGTCGTCAGAGCAGGAATGGGGAAGAAATATTTTGGTGATCTTTTGGTGACAACTATATAAGATTGGAATTCCTCCCACTTCCTGTTGTCTCTCCACAACAGGAATGAATAAAAAAAACTTTCCAATAGGACACAAAGAAAAAAATGTCAGGTGTTTTACCTATTCCCCATTTTGTCTATAAATAAATTGTTGGCTTTATATATTAATTGTTAAAGTCACACTTTTAAGATTTTGTTCCTAGAAAGTGGAGTTAATGTTAAGGGCATGTTAAGGCATTATGTTAAGAGGTATAGAACATATTTTTTTCACTTTCAGGAGCTGTAAAGTTTAATTTGTACTTGATGCCATGAGCTTGGATCTCTAGTGCTGAGAACAAACAGATTGTTTTTTGACAGGGTGTGGAAAATTAGAATAAGTGTGACCATTTGTTTGTCTTACTCTAATGCATGTTGTATTTTTAAGGGATTACATTAGTCATTACATTGCGGTAAAGATAATATTAAAATATGGATTAACCATTGTTTAGCTCTTTTTGAATTGTGTTGTTTTGAATTAAGCGATTTAAGGGATTGCCCACAAATGTTACAGACACTGCATTTTTCACAGAACAGTATTATGAATCCCACAGACATTAGATAAATGCATGGATACAAATAACTGTGACGCAGGATTGATTATTGCAGTTTGTGGTGAACAAACAATTATACCAAATATTACAGAGCTAACAAAAGTTAGAAGATAAATGTTCTCTAACCACTTGCTGACAGGGGTGGTTTACACCCCCTTTCCTGACCAGGCCATTTTTCAGGATTCAGTGCTGCGGTACTTTAACTGACATTTATTCAGTCATGCAACGCTGTACAGAAATTAATTTTATACCAATTTTTGGGGACACATGGAGCTTTTTTTCTGGCGGTATTTAATTACCACAGAGGTTTTAATTTTTTTACTATATAACGAAAGAAGTACTGTAAATGTAAAGAAAAAATGTGTTCCCTTTATTATGTTAGGAAACATTTATTATTACCCAACTTTTTGGTAAAATATAAAAGATGGTCACGTCGGGTAAATAGACACCAAACATGTCAAGCCTTAAAATTTTGCACGCCTGCGAAATCGCAAACAAAACGACCACACCCAAAATTGGCCATAGGTGACGCTTTTAAAAGCTTTTACCGCTCATCGGTTTAGTGTTAACAGTGATTGATGGCCCTAAAATTTGCTTACACTCTGATGTTTGCGATGATATGTAACAAGTGTGAGGTAATGGGCGCAATTGTCATTTTTGCGCATCTATGTGGGGGTGGGGGACTTTAAACATTGTATTTATTTTGTGACCAATTTTTTTTAACTTTTTTCTTTTACACTTAACTTTATTGTTATCACATAGGGGCTAAGAAGCCCCCTATGTAAGATCAAATTACAGTGACAGGTCCTGTTTGGAGACATCTGGGGCCCCTAAAGAAGTTGATGAAGAAGAGATCTGCTTCACCAGTTTCTATCTGGCTCCTGTAGCCGGAGAGTGAAAGCTGAATTTGGAAGTGATGTAATATACATCACTTCCTGCATTTGGGGACCGGAGAGGACATCGGCTGTTTAAAGTCTTGACAGTTTCCCACTTGTGTGCATCATGAGGGACGTTTAAAGACGTCCACACGCTGCCAGAAGGCTCTGGGTAAAAAGTCAGTTAGGGCCCGTTAACACTGTGGAGACCTGTATTTTACTGCACTGGATCAACACAGGTTAGCAATGATTGGTATTTCTATGTGTCCCATTCATGCCACGATGCAGGGGGGATGGGCACTGCACTGCGATAAAATGCCAAAATGCTGCATTGTATCGTAGTGCACTGAATCCACCTCATGTTTCCACACGGCAGCTGCTGTTCTGGGATCTATATGGTGTAAACAAATTGTACACTCCACGTAAGTAAAAGAAAAATATAAACAGTGACACTGCTAGAACTGACAAAACACGCTAGCCCATCTACTAAAATGCAGCATTTTAGTGTACGGGTTAGTGTGAATAAGCCCTAAGTGTTTCTTCAGCTGACTGTTTTATTTGGGACCAATTGAAACTTTAAATCTTTAGGCACTCCCGGAATAGTTAGCAGATACTCTCCAATGCAAAGGGGCTCTTCAGGATGACCTATGGGTCAATCTGACACAGAGCTTGTGTCAGTGAGCAGTGTTTGATTTCTGTTTCTGTTTTGTATTTGTAACAGTGTCCTTGTTATACAATCCCACATATGTGGACCTCATAATTTCATAAAATATCTTGCAGATCAATGCATGAATAAAATATGTCCTGCTAAAAAAATCATGTTTACTTGGTTACATTGTCTTATATGAAGGTGCAGGTGCCACATGTTTTCATCCGACATACAGTGTGCCTGAGATATTTTCATCATGGTCCAGACATTGTCTTGTATGTTATTGATATTATGTTCTACTACAACAGCCACCCAGTAGAATAACAACAAATTTGTAGGCTGAATGGTTACCTCAAGGTATGTTTCTTTTTGACTGGTGTGAGGTGTACACACACAGATCAAAATTTTATCCGATTGCTTACTCCTAGCTCTATTCCAGGCCATTACATGTACTACTGATTTTTTCATAATGCTACATGGACAGAGGACAGAGCTGATAGGGTCACCACAAGCATCCTCATTTTAATTGTCAGCAAATTATTCATAATTTTTTTAATTGCAGTAATTGTAAAGATTATGCTGGTATCCCATGCTGAGGTCTTTTCAAATCTTATTTCCATCCAGGTCCTCGGTTTTATTGTGTTGTACTGTGTCCTTAATTACTCCCAATGTATTTTTTTATTGAAATATGAGTGTGCAAAAATTACCATATACTTACTACTTTTCAAAAAATGGGAATGCAAATAGGATTTTACACATGAATATTAATAACAAGCCTATCACACCTTCCTGCAGTAACCTTACAATTATTTGTTTTTCCTCAAACAGCTATATATTGTGGTCAGCCACCTCATGTTGCCTTTGGGAAACTTCAAGGGTCAGATTTCAGCTGGGGGTCCAGTGTCAGCTATACATGTGTTGAGGGTTATCAGCTGTCTACTCCTACCGTTCTTTCTTGTGAAGGAAGAGGAACATGGAGAGGAGAAATTCCACAATGTCTCCGTAAGTTTTTCTATCTTAGGAATACATTGTTCTGCTATATAATTCCATCATACAGAGCACTTACTTTACTGCTTTAAACAATTTTCAGTGAAGAAGATTTGCTTCTGCTTAGCACAGTTAACTTTACAACTAAACCCATTTTAGTAATCAGCATGCAAGGGATACATATTGTCAAATGTGTTCTTACTGTATTTAATGGAAAATAGTTTACTTGTAGGCAATGGTTTATGTATAGACAGTATGCACAGGGCCAGCAAAGTGGTCATCTCCTCCAGTACCCCCAGTGGTTTGCAAATGTTCCTGGCATAGCTTTAGAGAACAAAATCTGTCCTTGTGTTTAGTGTACTGCACACAGAAAGCATTGCCTTTATCTTCAGTCCCTTGTTTGCCCTGTTAAAAATTGTACTCAACAGAGCAAATCACTATAAACAGCAGTGGTCATTAAAGTGTGTACATCAAAACTGTTTTAACAGACAATTGTGTCACCTATTTACGAATGATGTGGCACATTTTCTGATATTTGTATACTTGTCTTCTGCAATGCTTGCTGCCAAGTTGTGCACGCTCCTTCCTTTAGTTGTCCAGCTCAGATCTAATGTTTTGGAAGTTTCCCAATTCCTGGCGCTGCAACTTAGATAAGAGTGACGGCATAGGAAGTATCGATAAAGACATCGGGCCAACGTGCTCCAGTAGACAAATCGTGTGGGGCTGTCTGTTACAGCCAAAAACCTGTGGTGAGTATGCAATTTAAAGGGTATGTGTTGACTATAACACAATCCCCAGAAAAACCATTGTGTAATCACTGAACACTGGAAGGTTTGATCACCCTCACTCAAATGGATTGAAATAATCACAAAGACTTTATTTTTCATTTTGCATATTTTTTATTTAGATTTTATATGTTTTATTTATGTTTTGTTTAATTCACAGAGTTAACCCTTTACATAGATCATAATTGTTCACATATTTTTTGCGCACAGAAATATATCATATAATTGGAAGAAAATTGTTTATGAATAATATGATAACACCATAGTTTATTATTCTATTTTTGGATCACATTAGTACCAGAGTTTGACAATTTTCTGTCACGGTTTATTTTCTTTGATAATAATTATTGTTAAACACCATTGTTTCTTTCTCACCATCACTTGCGATTTAGCACTTATTGTAAATAGGTGACACAATTGTCTGTTAAAACAGTTTTGATGTACACACTTTAATGACCACTGATTGAATAGTAGCGCTGTATATGCGGTTGATACATTCTAGACCTACGGGTTTATAGTACGGCAGCTTTCAATTTAACACTTTGTTACACCTTAATAGAAGTCATCACTCATCACACGAGGGGTACATTTCATTTTATTTTATTTTATTTAATCACTTTTCATGGATATTCAACACAAATGTATTGGTAATAGTTCAATTTGTTCACTATTTGATCTTTTTAGCGCTGCTCATCCAGTTAAACTATAAACAGCAGACCTCACACAACTCAGGACCTTGCTTCCACTGCTAAATAAACTTAACACAGCAAACATTGCACAGCTCAGTCCCTTGCTTGCAATGTTAAACCATACTCTCTACACATCAATGTACCCTTTACAGCAAACCTCACACAACTCAAGGCCTTTCTTGCACTGTGTAGGCTGTGCGGAGCAGACACCACACAACTCAGAACCTTGCTTATACTATTCCAAGTCTCAGTCAAAAGCCTTTCACCACACAACAATCTTCTAATCCAATTATACCACCTGGAGCTAGAGCCCCAAACTAAGCTACTCTGCTAGGCTACACAGTATTTGCCAACACTAGGCAACACAGTACACCGTCTTCCCACCAGACACTCACACTGAGAGTGAAAGGGATAGGAGAATTCCCACAGAACCCACAGCATTGTCTCCCAACTGTGCAGTTACACAAGCAAACCTTAATTAGATCCTGTACTAAAGTCAACTCTTGCTGGGATTCTGCCTAGCCAATGCAGATTGCTTTCTTGGAGTTAGTGTTCCATTCTGTAGTCTGCTGTAGTCCAGGAGGGGGCCTCGTGCTAAGGGCACTGGTGGATCTAATTCCACATCTCCGACCCCACTCCCCCATGTACATGTCAGGTCGCAGGCACACACCTATCACCTGGTATCTCACACCCTCCCCTGTGAAGTTCCTATATTTCAGGATCGAATTTCCCCACACAAACTACTGAACAAACTCTAAAGTAACTTTATGTACATCAAGATGCAGTGAAATAACCTCTGATGCCTCCTGATGTACAAGATACAAAAATGAAAAAAACTCTATGCAAAGTTAATTTCCACCACTTTAATTCCTCAAGCAACCAGAAGCCTTTCTTCCTTAAAAATGGTTAAAAAAATAACACTACAAATGATTCAAGTTGTGTGAGATCAATCCAAGGAGGCTGCAGTTGTTCTGAATGAAAATGTTACTGTTTCATCTATTGTATACCCTACAGTGTATATGAAAAAAAATATGAAGAATTATTTTGTCCAAAAATGTTTAAATATACTTATAGTATTAGTGTAATGATGGAACACATAGGCCCCATAGAAGATGAACATGGGGAGTTGCTCACAAATGATAAGGAGAAGGCAGATAGATTTAATACATATTTCTCTTCAGATAGGTTTGTTAGTCAATGCTAATAATGTACTTAATGTACCTCTGGGGCTGAGAGAAATCCAGGTTCAAAACCAATTAGACAAATTTAATGTGAATAAATTAACAGGACCAAATGGCTTACATCTGCAAGTTCTCAGAGAGCTTAGCTTTGCAACAGCCAGACCATTTTTTTAAGAACACCCAACTGAAATGGTGCCAACTGATTGGCATAAACCAAATGTGGTATCATTTTCAAAAAAGGGTTGACGTGTATGCAAGAAAATTACAGACTAGTCAGTTTAACATGTATAGTATGTGAAATATTTGAGGGGCTGGTACGGGACTATTTTCAAGAATTTGTTAGTAAAAATGGTATTATAAGGAACAGAGAGCAAGGGCTTATGAAAGATTGTCTTGCCAGAAACTGCAATAACCTTTTTACTCTAAGGTCCCTGAAGAAGACATGTGGCTATAATTTATAATTTAAAAAATGGATGAAAATAAGTTCAATCTCAAACAGATAAAGGAAGTCTTTACTTTTAGAACAGTAAAAATGTGGTACTCTCTTCCCCGGTATTACCTGAGAGTGTTGATAGATTCAAAAAGTTATCTTTGTCACTTAACTCAGTCAGTGTGATTTACGGGGCTATGGGAATTTTTAAGTTTGAAAGACGATTGATCAAGGCATTTCTCCAATCATGAATATGGGGTCAGGAATCACTTTTTTAACCCTCTTACAGAAAATGTACCTATGGTTGTAGCAGTCCAAGGTATATAAAGCCAAATAGCTTCCTTATATCTCCTTGGAAATGATCCTCCCCACCACTGTGTACAATCCACTTCCAAAAATGTGTGATCTCACACCCTGTATTCTCATAAATAACTTACCAAAGACATGAACTTTCTGATATAGAAAGGTCTGCAGTGCTTTCCTTTTCTGTATCTCATGAACCTCTTTATTTTTATATATTCTTTTGCTCCCAGGCAATTCACCTAATAAAATATGCTCAGATATTGTTATAACATCTAAAACATTTTGTAAAATCCAAAATAAAGGATACACCCTTTTATGATGAAATGTGTTTGGAGGTGGAGCCAAAGCAGGCACACAGAGAGTTTCTCCATGAGAGGAGCATGAATTGGTGGACTATTGAACACAGAGCTGTGGGGGCAATAAAACAGTTACGTGATTCACAACTCTTACAATTTATAGCACTTTTGAATGTGAGTGTATACTTTTGTTTTTGATTTTTTTTTACAAACTGTTGTATGCATTATCACACTATTTGAGCCTTTGTATTTATTGCAATGCCTGGGAGTGGAAGAATATATGGAAAGAAGAAGAACTTAGGAAACAGAAAAATATGAGAAAACACTGCAGACCCTTTATATCAGAAAGGTCATGTCTTATAGTCAGTGTTTTGTGAGGGCAAGGGTGTGGGATCACACAATTATTGAAGTGGGTTGTACAACATGGTTGAGGAGGATAATTTCTAAGGAGATATACACAAACTCTTTTGATTTATTTAGGTTGGACTTTTGTTTAATAAATATGTTGGATTTTTTGTGGTTTCAGCACTGTTATTTATGAGGATGAGGATGATAGAGAGGTGCGATTGACCAATCTTATTACACATTGCTAGGTGTTTTGATACATACATAATAAATGGCTTTATAGGTTTTACCATTTTACTTCAGTTCAGTCCTTAGATGTGGTGGCCGCATTACATTTCTTTTTCTGGCTTTTTTCCCTGTATTTCTACCTGGTGATGATGCCAGCATCATAATTCTTGCCCTAGGGTGATAACGCTCACTCTTTAAATGTAGTGAAGCAGTCACCCTAGGATAGGACATGTGTTTGGACTAAAGAGCATCTACCCCCTCCTCTTCTCTCTAATATAGGGGGAGGTATCCTGTAGTCCACAGAGAGAGCTCAGAACAAATCTTGCTGATAATAGTGCAGCAGAGGCACTATTATGTTGTATTTTTTCCTGATACAACAGTTTTTTCTGCACTTAAAAATATATAACAGAACTATTTTAATGGCATATTTAATAGCCCAAAAGAGAGCAAATAAGATACATTTATTGTTGGGGTTTACATACCATTTAAGCCTGCTTCAGGCTGTGTACAAATGGTGACCCTTAAAAACTTTTATGTATACTGTATGTAGCTTATGTGTTCTAAATCCAACTCAGATTCAAGCTACAGTAGGCTTAACATTGTCTATGGTGGTGTCATGTGGATTACAGTATTAAGTGGATCAAGATTTTGAAGGCAGCAGCCTTTGCAGTCAGTACATAAACAAGTTTTTTTTGTGCAGATAGAAACAATGCAGAAGATAAGCAATGCGCAATTAGCTTAGGCTTGCAGCTTTTTTT